GCAATTCTCCAGCTGCATATGAATGTGGCTGCAGGAGGGAGTCTGTTTATCTGGGGAATGTGCTGCCAACTGATTTATAGTGAAAGGAACCTGAAAAGAAGTGGTTGTTGCCCTTTTCCACAATCCCATAAGCTTTTACACAGACATAAACAATGGCATTGAATTAGGCATATTTGTCTATTTTTTTAATGCTAAATTTTAATTTTTTCTACTTTCAGTTTCTTAGGGCTTCATTTTAAATACTACTAAATATTTCTAAATTATGTATAGTCCTGCAGTCTTAATCATTATAAATTCTACTTTAAGGAAAAAGGTAAATAAGAAAATACTAAGACAGTATAGTTAAATATTACTCTAATTGATTTTTGATTTGTAATTCTGTAAGACTACATTAAACTTTACTTGAAGATAGCCCTGTCAGAAGGCTTAAAAAATATGTTACATGACATTGTTATCAGTCATAATAACAATGTTTTATAGCCAACATATCTAGTTTTTTTAATATTTATTTTTTAGTTATAGGTGGACACAATATTTTGATTTATTTTATTTTTATGTGGTGCTGAGGATTGAACCCAGTGCTTCATGTAGGGTAAGCAAATGTTCTACCTCTGAGCCACAATCCCAGCCCCAAGCATATCTAATTTCTAAATTTATTTAATATATGTTGTATGAATGGATTGCTTTTTTAGTCAAGCTCTTAATAACAGTAAATCCATGGTATACTTACTTGCAAGTATTTAAAAAATCAGGGAATTATTTGAACAATTTTCCATCACTTTATATAAAAAATGTCTAAGCATTTAGAATGTTATTTAACATTAGGAATAATGCTTATTTGTCTATAATTGAAGTATATATTCTTGGTATCTAGCTCATGGCCTAGCACACATATAGGAGGAATTAAATAAATATTTGATGAATGAATGTATCTCTGAGGCTTTGAAATAAGATATTATGCATTTTTTTTTATTTAGTATTCTCCTGACCAAAATCACAGATGTAAATGTAGGCCAGTTCTCAGCCATATACCTTGTAACTTCACAGGAAGTTAACCTCAAATGCAATTTCCAAAATCAGAGGAAGAATTTTCTTTTCCATGTATACAAGTTGAAAACCCTTATCAGAAATGGTTGAAACTAGAATTGTTCAGATTTCCGATTTTTAAAATTTATTATACGTATAATATATACAAAACAAGATCTCTTCAGAATAGGACCCAAATCTAAACATGAAATTCCTTTATGTTTCACATACACCTTACACATGTACCCTGAAAGTAATTTTACACAATGTTTAGTGTGCCTGCATTTTGAGTGTGGCCCATTTCATGTGGTCAGGTTTGTAATTTTCTTTTGTGCTACCATGTCAGATTTTGCAGGATATCACATTACAGATTTTCAGATTAAGGATGCTCAACTGCTACAATATTACTTTCTAAATATTTACCTGTTGGCACTCTCCATCAAAGAACACAATAAAGAAATATCATCTGGGGCAATTAGGTGTGTAATGAGATAAAAACAACCCATTTCCCTTCTTTAATCTCCCATTTCCCAAGCCAGGAATTAAATAGTAAAGAGTTATTTGCAGACATAATTATCATTGATATCTACTTTCAAGAAACATTTGTTGAATATCTTCTGGATTGCAGCCACTATGCCAGCTCCGAGGTATATAGAGATAAATAAACACAGCCCCCACCTGTAAGACAGATAGATCAATATATACTTCTACCATTACTGTAATGCAGCACTTAATTTGAAGTCTTCTTTGACTTAAGGCATTTTCCTAACAGAGAAATAAGCTTACTATGGACTATCAGGTCATTTTTACTCTATGAATAGTCAGAATAGTCAAACTTTCTTCATATTCAAGAGATGCCTATATTTTTAATAAACATACATGGTAAGCCCTGAGTTATTGACTTTCTTCCAGTTAACTTTTCTCTGTTATTAGGCAAATAAAACAATGATTTTGTAGAGCAATTTCTGCATCTTTATCATTAGCAATAATGATCAGTATCTTTTGCCTTCCGTCCAAGGCTGTTTCACTTCAAAGGGAATTGTACATAAAGATCAAAGAGAGACCAGAAATTGATACAAGACCAAAAAAAAAAAAAAAAAAAAGTGAAAAAGTAAAAAAGGTGCTGCAGTATCAACTTCTTAAAAAATTATTATTATTAGACTTCCTGGTGCCCTGTGGCAGGAATCCTAGAGATGCCCTGAGTTAACATTGAGCATTCCAAGGACTGTAGCCGCCCTCACTGCCAAGATTCACACCTAAATAAATAAACAAAGCAAAGCCCAGCTGACTGTGTGTCTCCAGAAAACAACTCATCATTTGTTCCACATGAAAGGAACAGAAAGCAAGTGGAAAGCTGGGTTTTAAAGGGCACTGCTAACATGAGAAGGGAGAAATGTCAAAAATGTTGAAGTAAACAGTGGACTAGTACCTGTCTCAATTTTTTTCATTGAGAGTTTTTGTTCTTGGTACCTAAATAATCCTAAATGCTGTGACATTTCATTTATTCCCACGAGCACGTACAGGAAACAATATGAATTATAATGCAATAGCAGATAGCAGATATTTCTTGAAGGAGCTACAGCAGGAATATAAAGCAGGAAGTAAACAATTTAACTGGGGAAGAGAGAGGAAAGAATACTTAGACTTTCTTGGCAGAGACTTCTGTGTCCTACGTGACAAGTAGGTGTTTGCCAACAAATGAGTATAGAAGGGCATTCCTTGAAAAGGCAACAGCATGGGTGGGAGCAAGGGGTCATCAGCTCCTGAGCATCCACTGAAGTCTACACAATTCTATGCCTGGAACTTGGGATTTAAAGGCAGAGGGGTCACAAGGCTGATGGGCACAATGAGCAGTAAGGCTTGACAGCTGGCCAGGAACAAGCTCATGGAGCACTGAGAAATGCTTACAAGAAGTCAATTCTTAAACCTGTAGGCAAGGAAAGATCGGTAGAGTCTGACAGGAGACGGGCCACTCCAAGCAGTAATTAAGACTGTGCATTAGAGCGGCTCCTCCAATGGGACACTATTCAGATTGTTAACATTGGCTAATTCATCTGGGAATATACAAGTGGTGGTGTGGCTTCCAGGATCCTGATTGAGTCTGGAAGGAGCTAGGAGAGGCCCCTCCTTCATAAAGCCCCCAACAATATACAATCACACATAAAAGTAGGAGAAAAGACAAGCCAACTGGACCACACACTCAGGGACAGGTGGCTGCACCCTCTCAGGAGAATGCTCCAGAAATCACAGGCTGACACACCTCTCACATGACTCTGAAAACAGTAAGCACATTTCACCTTGCAGGAGGGAAGAAAGAGTGTGAACTGACCGAAAGTTTACTCTAGTGCTAGGGAGCTGGGTGTCTGAGAATACCATGGCTTCGTGGGTTCATGTGCACATGGAATTGGCCAGCTCCAGTGTTTTGGAAAGCTCCATGAGAAGACCCCAACTACTCTCAAAAACATGATCTTCACAGCACAGCTTAGCCTAATTCACAGTGGATACATACATTCTACCCTGTCCCAAGCTACAACCTACTTTGCAAACCCCAGCACTAGCACTTATTGCATACCTTGAAATGTGAGGGCCACACCAGGAACTGCCTGTGACACTGGCTACATGACCAGCAATCATACTTCATCATCTATAGCTGTACCATAAATTTAAAAATTGTACCTGAGAAAGGGATATCTTAATTCATAAAAACAGTGCTTCGTTGGGCTGCCAGCAGCTCTGTAGAATCTATTGCCATGATCCTGATAAGAGCCTGGCATCATGAGGATAGGGAAGAAGCAATGGCTTTGGTAGAGGTTAAACAGGCAGACTCTTCAGGGATTAGTGGCCAATAGGAAGAGGGTGGAAGAAGGTGAAATGGAGAGGATGCTGGAGTGTGGATTTTTGACTTGAGAGCCTGGACACAGAGAAGATCCATTCTCAGAGATAAGGGAGAGTTTATGACATGCGGACCTTGAGGTGTCCAAAGGATGTGTGGGTAAAACTGTTTAGCAAGCAGATGACCAAGGAATTTGGAACCCATTTAAGTGGGTGGTGAAACTATTTAAAAAAAATGAGCTAGACCAGCATAGGGAGTTGAGAGAAAGGGGGAGGGCAGCTGTTCAGCAATGGAATTTGAGATGTACCCAGAAATGAAGCATGAGAACAGAAATCTAGGAGTTGTAACATGTAGATAATAATCAAGATTTCCATAAAGCCCAGGTAAAATGAAGAGTAGAGTGGGTTTTTTTTTTTCAATGTAGAAACTAGTTTAATAGTAGCTTTTTCCAAAACCATTTTATTATAGCAGTGGGAACAGAATCTTTTATCTTTAAAAAAAAAAAAAAAACACTGAGAAGTTGCTAGGATTATAGGTGTGTACCATCTCACCTGGCTGAAGACAGAACATTGAATCCAGAGGGCTGAGAGCATCTAGGATGAGATGAAGCAGAGCAACACCACAAAGATTTCTTTGGAGAGCTCATGAATGAAGAGGGGAAGAGGGATGTGGTGGTAAAAGTGCTGACTTGGTAATTTAATTAATTTTAATTAATTTTGTGTTTTGTTTCCAAAGAGAAAGGCCAAGAGTCCACAAAAGGGGCAAGTTTACACATGAAGCTGAATGGGGATACAGGTTGCTGTCCTACCAAAATGAAAGTAAATGACTGAGTAGGGTACTGGACTTGGCATTAGAAGAAGAGTCTGAACCCTATCTCCAATCTAAGTACATTGGCCAAGTCACTTTACCTCTTTAGTCCTCTCCAGCCACTTCTGTGCGATGGGACCACTAAAGTCCACCCCATTATGTATTATGAGACCCAGTAGGCATACCTGTGGGAGAGTGTCTGGGCCATGGTGAAGTGTGTGTTTGCGTATGGCAATTGGAGTCATTAGTCCATCAAACTTCTGATGGGAGACCATCAATGTATGCATTGTTGCTTTCTTTACCATATTTGTTCATATAATTTTTATCTCTTTAGGAATTTGGTGACAGGCGCTGTTAGTCTGATCCTCCCTTACATGAAGGACAAGACAAAGATCCAGTTTGGAAATGAGAAAGGAGAACTAGCGGGCGACGTTGGCTCTATCTCTTGATATCTCCCAGAGGCGCAGAAAAAGGATTCATGAAGATGTGGACAAGACTTCAAGTTCTTACTTTAGCTTTATTTTCAAAGGGATTTTTACTCTCTTTAGGGGATCATAACTTTATGAGGAGGGAGATTAAAATAGAAGGTGACCTTGTTTTGGGGGGCCTATTTCCTATTAATGAAAAAGGCACTGGAACTGAAGACTGTGGGCGAATCAATGAAGATCGAGGGATCCAACGCCTGGAAGCTATGTTGTTTGCTATTGATGAAATCAACAAAGACAATTACCTTCTACCCGGAGTGAAGTTGGGTGTTCATATTCTGGATACATGCTCAAGGGATACCTATGCTTTAGAGCAATCACTGGAGTTTGTCAGGGCATCTTTGACTAAAGTGGATGAAGCTGAGTATATGTGTCCTGACGGATCATATGCCATTCAAGAAAATATCCCTCTGCTCATTGCAGGGGTCATTGGTGGCTCTTACAGCAGTGTTTCCATACAGGTAAGACTGGCATATATTCCTGCTAAAATCTGCGTCTCTTTGCTTTTATGTCTTGGGGAGAACAAAAGAAGGCTATCCTAATAATTTCATCGATGGATGATGTCATATTTCTATCAGTATTTGATAACACAGGTAGCTATTGCAGCATAACACAATGCCCTGAAATTCAATTGTTTGACCCAATTACTTATTAGTTTACAAGCCTGAAGTAATGACTTCACTCCTTTACAGTAAGCCAATGGAGACTGGGCTTAGCAGGGGGTGGTTTTGCCCAGGTTGTCTCTTAGAATCAATGCTCTAGCCCAAGGAAGTTTTCAGAGTGATGGCAGGGGTGTGAGGGAATGCAAACTCAACTGCATGCATAATTCCTCTTCAAGCCCCTGCTTGTGTCATATCTGCTAGTATCCCTTTAGCTGAAGCAATTCCACAGGGCTCAGGTCAGAGTCAAGAAGCAGGAAAGAATGGCCCGCCTACAGTAAATAATAGTGCTACATAATTCCATAAAATAGGAATTTGAAGCCATAGATAAAAGCAATCACAGGAAGGTACAATATCCCTGAACTCACACACATTTTTTACTAAAGCTTCATTTTGTTCAGACACAATATAAAGAATTTCTCAGTATATAAACTTTAAAATGTATGCAGAGAAGCCAGATAATTAACCCTCTCCCCAAAAAACAAAAAGACTTAGCACATAAAGTAGACACAAAGCTGATAAGTTGCCGTAGTCTGGCTGGGCACAAATCACTGAGCCACCACAAAGCACTTGTATGTTCAAACAGGAAACTTTATTGCCTGAACTCCACCAGCACTCCACGAACACTCTCRTGGAACTCCCCCCAACCCACCCACGCAGCCCTCTCCCGCACACCACACACACCGGAACTCCCTCCACCGGAACTTCACCAACCAACACTGAACTCCCCAGGAATCCCCAGAAGAACTCCAAAGTAGCTGGGGGGGGGGGGGCAGGCAGACAGCAGGGGTCTATATACAATTGAATACACAGCTTAACATAATCATCAACATCTTAATGGCTCGCTGGCATCACCTCTCAACCACTCCCATCTGGCAAAAATGCCATGCCTCATCCCGACTTGGCTGTGGCCCTCAACATCTCCCCCCTTCTGTTTAATTAAACAACAAGCAATGTGGCTTAGGGACCATGCCTGTCTTAGGTTGTCCAATACTACATACAGCTCTTACCCATTATCGGATGAGCTGACCTCAAGGCGTTAGCCTCCTGTCTTAGGTTGGTACCATTGCAATTGGATCTTACCCRTCATTGACTACCAGTCCAGCATATAGCCATACTTGTGGATAGGCCTTTGCACCATTGGGGGATGGTGAGGTTCTTTGCCTCACCTCTGTTGGCCCCCAAATTTGGCCTTTGCACCAGTGGGAGGGTGAGGCCCTCAACAATAACTGATTCTCAGGTTTTGTTAGAAAAAAAGAAACATTCAAATTCTTGCAGTGCTTATGTACATGATTATAGAATTTAGAGACAGAACAGAACTGAGAAATCATCCAGCTCAACCTTCTCATTTTCCCAATTCCCAAAGAGATGTTGGTCTCAAGAAAACTCCCATTGGTAGGAAGCACAAAATCTAGAATTCAGATCTTTTGCACTTTTCTGCTTTTTCAGCTACCACATGTGATTTCAGTGTTACTTAAAGTTCAATTTGTTTTCTGGTGAGAACACTATTGTCACAGTATTAAAAGTCCATGATTCTAAGAGTAATACACTTTGCCTCCTACCAAATTACTGTAATCAAAGCCCAAGCATTAAAGATACTCATATTGTCTTTGTATGTCACAAACCCATTTCAAGTGGCTCTATTTGCATTGGAATAGCCTTATTTCTATATCCCAGATTTGCAGCACTTAAAATTCTACGTGTTATTCTGTGCTGCTCTAAATGAGCTATTTCAAATTTCTTTCCCTCTTTAGAGCACACAGTCATATTATAAGTAATTAGGATAATTGGTTTTTCATAAACACCCTTTGACTTCATTAGATGAATAGAAAATATTGCACATCTCAAAGCACAGCATGTTAATTTTGTCACTATTTCTATACTTGGGTCAGTAGAGGTAGAATTTGTTATTGGAGAAAAGAGAAAATTTCAGATGTATAYCCACCATACTTTAATAACAATTTCATCTTGAATGTCAATCATTTCACAAATATTTATATTATGCCCAATGTTACTGCTAGTAAGGAACAGGAATATATGCTTTTTCTGACATTAATCCATCCCAACATAGTAAATAGCACTATTTCAGAGCAGATGTGTCATAATGATTTATCCAACGTATTTAACAAGCTATATATTGCAAAATAAAATTTTTACCTAATTTTACTCTTTTGGCATTATAACTCCCCAGGAGAGGTGAGACTGGTTTAAGGGGAAAAAATGTAGGGTTCTAAAACACTTTACTGGTACGCAAGGGAAGAAATCACTAATCTTACTCATCAAAGGACCTGGCTTTTAATTTCATTTATCTGGTCAATACACCATAAAGTCACAAATGCTGATATGGTTTTATGCTGATATACCACTATAAATAAAGAAAAAAAAACTAGTATATAAAAATGGGTATAGATTTTGGCATCAGAAAGACCTGGGTGTGAAGTCCAACATCATCATTTGCTGGTTAGTTGTAAAATGAGCAAAATACCTCAAAAAGGTGTGGAAAGGAGAAATTGAGAAAATTCATGAAAAATTCTTCACCAAAAAAATTAAGATTCATTAAATGGTTGCTACATTTAAAACCAATTCTGTGGCCTTTGCAGTGGCCAAGCAGTCTAATGAGATAATGAGTCTAATGGTCCCCCAGCAGGTCAGTCTGGATAAAGAGCCTAATGTGTGCTCTGCACTGTGACAGGGTTAGAGAGAATACTAAAGTCATATAGAACATGTTCTTGACTTTAAGGCATTTAAAGCCTGGCTGGGGGTTCAGTACTACTGTGAAATAGCAATTACTCTAATTCAGTAATTAGATGACAGAATGAAAGTTGGATTAGACAAAGGTTGATAGGGCCACAGTGAGAAGTAGATACTGGATCTGAGGAGGTTGAACATAAATTTGTGGTAAATGTTTATGGGGATGGGGACAAGGACTTTGGCAAGAGTAAGGAGGTGAGCTAAAGAGAAAGGGACAGAGTAGGGGTCTCCATTCCCTCTGACTACTCAGCTCTGTGATTAGGCCATACCCCAGAACAAAGTAAATCTGGGAGATGGAACAAATGGTCCCTAAACAGTGACCTCCAGGCACCCTTCCAAGGAAACTTTCTACATCAGACCTTCCTTTCAGCAAAGCATCATGAATGAAAAGAGGTCCAAAGAGGCCTTTACACAGCTAAGAATTGAAGTATGTTATCCTTGCAAACATATTTGTCCTTTAATAAGAATTCTTAAAAATATCCTTAGTGTCAATCCAAAGTAGTAGGCTCCTAATGGTGAATTTAAGGCACTCTTGTACATTAATGAGGGAGACGCTATAGAAGATTTTTGTGGGTATCGTTCTTACTCACCCTCTTCAGTTTCCATGAATGATTCTCATCATGCACCTGGTGTCTGATGACCATGAGGATAGCATATGCCTGGTAGTCCTGCCATCCTCTCTTTTCTCCTTTCAACTTCCTCAATATATCCCGGAAAGTGTTTCTGCTTGAACTGAATTAGGTCAGGGAAGAGGATGAAACTGTAGAAGCAAATGAGTACAAATCTATAATTTAAAAAATGTCTGTCATTCATTTGTCACTAACTGAAGCCCGGAATTTTCAGTAACAAAATTGCCCATTGGGAGAGAATTTTAGAGATTCATATTTGTGCATCTTCCTTCTGTGGCTGGGTCAGTTGTTTAGATGTTATAAACTCTGGGTTGCTTTATTGGCCACATTGCCTCAGGGGGTACTTTCTGTACAGCTTCCTTTTCTTCCCACTAAAGGAGAGGAATTCTTAGGAATACAGCAAAGGAGACATCTCCTGCTGTGTTATAGGAGAGGGCTTTGAATGGAAGAGAGGATTCTTAAGATTTGCTGGGGTAAGCCATATCACCATTGATGAAGACTTAGATAATTATTTTCCTAATGTTCTAATTAAGGATGACAAACCACTCTGTGGTGGTCCCTTCACAAAGCAACACTATTGATTTTTTAATTGAGTATTCAATAAAAGCAAGCATCAAAATCCTTCTATATTAGCAAATGGAGTTGGGGGGTCTATTCACCCCTCTGGTAAGTTCTTTTTCAAAGCATTTTAATACTATATCCTAATCTTCTCTATAAGCCTGCAAACCCCTCACTTCAGGGAAAATAGTATTTCTTCAAGAAGGGAATCAGGTTGGTTGCCTTTAGCTAAGCAACTGTCTTTGTGGTACTTATTTAGAAGCAATGTTTATGCTTGTGCTTTTCAAATAGGCTGTAGTTAGTTCCTAAGTGGTCCAGTGAAAAATGTTCCTTGAAATGTGCCCAAAATGTTCCTGACTCTTTTTGGAGGATGTAACATTTTCTCATTCTTTCTTGCCTAAGTAGAACAAATTTTCAATGGAACATGCAATATAAGTTACCCAGTCATTGTTTTGTCTATGAATATTAAAGTGACTCAAGCAACAAATGAGGATTTGGGTTAAATGGCCTCTAAAAGTTTAGCTCATAGAAAAGTCAGAGGTTTGTCTTGAACCTCCTTTTTATCCCTGGTATAGTTATACCCTTTTTCAAGATTTCTAGTACAATCTACAGCCCAGGAACTCTAACTCTGAGCAGCAGTTTTTATGACATAGTTTATCATGACATGACTTTGGACATACATACGATGCATTTCTCAGATTATATCCGTGGGAAAAATTACTCCTTAAACCAAATTCTTTGCAATAAATTTTGTGGACTTTAGTTACATGGGGAAAAGGAGAAAGAGACCGTTTTATTTTACTTCTTCCACCCAATTCCATAGTGCTAGTAGAGTTTGTGAACCACCACTGGTCAATTTGTACC